CAACCTTATTGTTGCAAAACATACTGATGGCATTTGTTACAGAAGGATTTCTATACTTCTGAATGTTCCAGTGAGCACTGTTGGGGCCATTATCCGGAAGTGGAAAGAACATCATTTCACCATAAACCGGCCATGACCAGGTTCTCTTTGCAAGATTTCTGACAGAGCAGTGAAAAAAATTATCAGAAGAGTTGTCTAAGAGCCAAGGACCACTTGTGGAGAGCTTCAGAAAGATCTGGAATTAGCAGGTACAATTGATTCAAAGAAAACAGTAAGTAATGCGCTCAACCGCCGTGGCCTGTATACACGCTCACCATGCAATACTCCATTGCTGAAGAAAAAGCATGTTGAAGCTCGTTTAAAGTTTGCTGCAGAACATTTAGACAAGCCTGTGAAATACTGGGAGAATATAGTCTGGTCAGATGAGACCAAAATTAAACTCTTTGGATGCCATAATACACACCATGTTTGGAGGTCAAATAGCACTGCACATCACCCCAAAACATCATGGTGTAGCACTGACAAAATACATGTAATTGAAGGAAGGATGAATGGAAAAATGTACCGAGACATTCTTGATAAAAATCTGCTTTCAGAGAAAGAAAGTAAAGCTGCTAGAATGGCCTAGCCAATCACCTGACTTGAATCCAATAGAAAATCTATGGAAAGACCTACAGATCAGAGTTCATAGAAGAGGCCCACAGAACCTTCAAGATTTGAAGACTGTGTGGAAGAATGGGCCAAAATCCCACTTGAGCAATGCATATGACTAGTTTCTCCATACAGGAGGCGTTTTGAAGCCGTCATTAACAACAAATGATTTTGTACAAAGTAATTTCAGTAAGCGTGTTCAATACTTTTTCACTGGGTCATTCCATTTTATTACACATAACTTAATTTCTGAACTTATTTGTATTGTTTTCTTTGTATGTATGGATTACTTGGGTTGTTACCGACATCTGGTGAAAATTTCATGTCAACAGCACCTTTAGAAATATATTTACTGAGAAAAATGGTGACGTGTTCAACACTTATTTTACCCACTGTATGTGTGTGATCAGATATGTAAGATATCTGAGATCAGATATGTGAGAAATCATCCGTGAGATCAGATGTGAGAGATCAGTTATGTTAGCTGAGACATATGAGATGACACATTAGAAATTAGAAACAGGAGATCAGACAGTTGATATCAGACATGTGAAAAATATGACATGTTAAAGACCTGACATGCAATATCAGATGGGTAAAAGATTAAAGATGCAACAAATCTACAATGTGTGAGATCAGATAAGATATCTGAGATCAGATGTGAGAAATCATCCGTGAGATCAGATATGTAAGAGATCAGTTATGTTAGATGATATATGCGAGATGAGACATGAGAAATTAGAAACTACAGATGAGTGAGATCAGACAGGCGATATCAGTCATGTTAGAGATGAAACATGCAATAGATCCAATATGTGTGAGATCAGACATATGAGATCAAACTTATAATAAAATAATATGCTACTTCATACACCACTCACCAATTTTATTTTTGAATGACCCTGAGGAGCTTTTAGATTCATCTGGTGTCTGTGACAAAACAGATTACAAATAACAAAATCAAGAGATGAATTCATTGATATTAAACTAGGGGGAACATGAGAAACAAATACCTCTCTCTCACTGAATCTTCTCTCAGAAGAAGACTGTAACTCCATCTTTGATCCTAACGCCTCATAGTAGGGTGGAGATCTATGTAGTGAAAGAGATTTATCACTTTCAGATTGTTTCACACCCACACATGCAAATGTTTGTAATTGCACACAACACAAACCTGGCCAAGCTGCTCTCAGTGGGCGTCTGTGACGACACACTCTCCTCCTGCCAAGCAGCTCGGACCCCCAGCAGCAGGAAAAGGCAGCGTGAGACCAGCAGGTGGCAGGCTGCTGGGAAGGACAGGCCCTGGTCGGTGATGCTGTGGTGGTCCCAGGGACGCTGGGGGGGCTCCCTGTCTGGCGTCCCAGGGCTCTCAGTGCTGCTGGGTAACGTGCTAGTGCCAGACGACTCGTACACAGTCTCGTTCTGTTGGAGCTGCATGGCCTCACGGGTGGCCAGGAAACACTGCAGCACCTCTGCGGGGAGGAGGACACAAGCAAATAGTTCACAATTACACAATACAACACCAGAGAGAGTATTTTAGAGACAATAGTGTCACATTAATCCCAAAAATGATCAGGGTTGTTACTGTTAATTAAAACTTAAATGAGGCATATTATGCCCCTTTTTACAATATATAAGTCTCTGGTGTCCCCAGAATGTGTCTGTGAAGTTTCAGCTCAAAATACGCCATAGATCTGGACACGATGAAACACAGAGTAACAGTGATAATGTTGGTTAATGTTACTTTGTCCCTGGTTCGTGTGCATCAGCATAAAGAAATTGGGAGGTAGGGAAAGTCATTATATTATATTTTATTATGAACGAATGAATGATGCATTTATATAGCACTTTCTTGTGTATTGCTACACACCCAGAGCGCTTTACAATCATGTTGGTGGGGTCTCTCCTCAACCACCACCAGTGTGCAGCATCCACCTGGATGATGCGAGGCTGCAGGGTGATATGGCTTTTTATTCATCAAAGAATCCTTAAAAAAGCATCACAAGTTCCAAAAAATATATTAAGCAGCACAACTGTTTCCAACATTAATAAAGCAGCATTTCTGAAGGATCATGTGACACTAAAGACTTTTCCACCACAGGAATAAACTATTTTAAAGTAATTTAACTATTTTAAAGTATCTTAAAACAGAAAACTGTTTTATAAACCGCATAAGAGCATAAATAAAAATGCTTCAGATTTAAAACTTTTAAACGGTAGTGTATATATGACTGGTTTATTGATGCGTTTTACCTGTTTGGTGGTAGTTGTTTGGACGCTGGTTGTGTTTCCTATGCTCTCTTTATAAGACAGCAGAATGCTGCGGATTTTATACACCACCTGATATATTTCAATCAGCACCTCACAGGGCTCATATCTGCAGTCAAACACACACACACACACACACACACACATTAATGGACTGTTTAACCTATTGGTTCATCCTGGCTGCTGCTGCAGAAGGTTGATCTGGATATTCATGACTGTCAATTCATATTCACTAAACTCTCACAAATGAGTCATTATGGCGGAGGAATTTATCATGTGAGATTTCTCACAGTACAGAGAGAGACAGGCACTGACACTTTAATATTCACATACAGAGTCATTCTTTAAATGGAGCATATATTCATTAAGTCTGGGTCAACTAATTAAAGAGTTCATTACACTATGGCAGAAGGGAGACGTAGGAAGACAAAAGTGTTCAAGAGATCTAGGTAAAGAGAGAGAGGACGAGGGCGAGGTGTGGATCTCACTCACTTTTCCTGCCAGTAGGCTTCATGAAGGCCGGCATGTTTGAGCAGAGCGGCCAAACTACAGTGACACGCCGTCTCTAACAGAGAGTCTCCCACTGATCCACCATTGTCCCAGTCTGCATAAAAACACACATGTGAATGTCAATACTTAGACAGGTACATGTTCACATGTACCTGTGAACATGTTCTTGTGGTGCAAATAAAATCAGGTAATTCTGCCAATAGTTATAGGCATAGATTTGTATAGGTAGATACCACATTCCAGCTACGAATGAGGGATCTATGTATTATTCTATGGTCATAGGAACTATGAAAATGTTCCTCTGGTGCAAAAGCCACTTTTCTAAGTATCTGGTACCAAAAAAGTATGTAAATAAATGTCTTGCAATATTTTTTACTTTCTTTTCATATTCTACACACTTAAACAAATCCTGCCCCTCTCTTACCTCGACTCGCCGCATACTCCTTCATCTTCCTCCAGAGGGCGCTGGCAGGTTCTCGCAGTGAGCCAAGAGCGAGTTCCACTAACGTTGTGTTCTCTTCCGACAGCAGCAGCTCAGCTAGTCTCACGTCTCCACAACCCATGAACACGGCCTCAGTCAGCCAACCCATTGACCAGTCTATAGGATAACATACACAGATGAGTATTTATTTTTCTGTATTTATGTGTGTGTTTATAACACGCAACATAAACAATAAGCTGTTGCCTCCTGGTGGCAGGTCATTACCCAGCTGTTCAAAGTCTATCTCCAGCCCATTTCTCAGGAGCGGGTTACACAGCCAGAACTCTGCTGTCTTCTCCTGGATGGAAGGGGGTGGGCCCTGAAGCATACCTCCCAGGCATCGGCCAATGGCAAGAGCTACAGACCTCTCCAGGTCTAGTAGCCATGCCCAGTCTTCTGACTCTGGCACTGTGATTGGCTCAGAGGTTTCAGATGCTTCTGCAATAGAAAGTACATTTAGATTTACATTTAGTCATTTAGCAGATGCTTTTATCCAAAGCGACTTTCAAATGAGGACAATAGAAGCAATCAAAACCAACAAAAGAGCAATTATATGCAAGTGCTATGACAAGTCTCGGTTAGCCTATTAAAAGTAGGAGTGTGCAATTGGCAGTACTGTGTCTATCTTGATGATCTGTCATTTGTTAATGATTAAGTTGTTTTTGAACCGTTTAAATGTCAAACAATGCATTAAGGTATTCGGAACGTTTTCCAAGAATGACAGAAATACATAATTCTGGTCCTTACCATCTGAGGTTCCTTCCAGCTCCATGTCCTCCAGGTGCGCAGTGTTGGGCAGGTAACAGTTGAGCTCGTTGAGATGTTCAAGCAGAGTGAGCAGGTGAGGAAGGAGGGGTTTGACCACAGCCAATGGCAGCAGGAGCAGAGAGTACATCACCTGACACAGCAGACTCCCCGCCACCGAACCAAACAGCACAGCTATAGAGAAACACATATAACTCAATACACTGGGTCTGGTTGGATCACAGGGTGGCTACCATGATTGGAGGAATGGAAGGCAAGATAAATGGATGGAATAACAGATGGACGGAGGGATGAATGGATGGACGGACGGATGGATGGATGGATGACTACATAAATGAATGATAGAATTGACGAACAAAAGGATGGATGGACAAATAGCTGGACAAGTGAATAACTCCGTAAATGTATGGATGGATGGACTGATAGATGGATGGATGGCTACGTAAATAGAGGGATGGATAAACAGAAGGATGGATGGATGGACAAAGGGATAACTACATAAATGAATGGATGGACTAATAGATGAATGGACGGATGGCTACGTAAATAGATGGAGGGACAGATAGAGAGATGGATGGACTAATGGATCGATGGGTGGATGAATGGGAGACTACATAAACTGATGGAGGGATGGATGAACAGAAGGATGGATAGATGAACAAATAGCTGGACAAATGGATAACCACATAAATGGATGAATGGATGAATGGCTATATAAATAGATGGATGGAGAAATGGATGGACTAATGGATGGATGGATGAATGAGAGACACTATAAATGGATGGAGTGATTGATGAACAGAAGGATGGATAGATGAACAAATAGCTGGACAAATGGATAATACTACATGGATGGATGGATGGATGGATGGACGGATGGATAGATTGATTATGAATGGCTACATGGATGGATAGATGGATGGATGGATGAATGGGAGACTACATAAACTGATGGAGGGATGGATGAACAGAAGGATGGATGGATGGACAAATAGCTGGACAAATGGATAACCACATAAATGGATGAATGGTTGGAGAAATGGATGGATGGATGGATGGACGTATGGATGGGAGACTATATAAATGGATGGAGGGATTGATGAACAGAAGGATGGATAGATGAACAAATAGCTGGACAAATGGATAATACTACATGGATGATAGATAAATAGATTGACAGATGGGGGATGGATGGATGATGATAGATGGATGGATGAATAATGGTTAAATGGACAAAGGGATAGATGGATGGATAAACTGATGAATGGGGACGGAGAGATGGATGGATGGCTACATAAATAGACAAAGGTATACAGTAGATGGAGGGATGGACAGAAGGGTACTTTAAAGGAGGGATAGGTGGTCAGAAGGTTGGATCGATGGATGAACAAATAGACAGAAAATGGACAACTACATAAATGGATATATGGATGGAGAGATGGAAGGATGGATGTAATGATGGATTGATAGGGATATGCATGGCCGAATTACTGCATGGACGCATGGATGGCTGCATACATGGATGGGTGGGTTGAAAAATGAACAGCTAGATGGATGGATGGATAAATGAAGGGAGTGACAGACAGATGGCTGGACGCATGGATGGATGGCACATAATGTGTGTTCTTACTGTGTAGTTTCTTGATGACGTGTTTGTCCAGTGTGCTCTCCTCCAGCAGAATGGTGGATCTCCTGAAGGTCTCGGCTGCGTAAGGCAGCAGCAGGCACAGGTGCTTATGGAGCAGCACCACGCTACTGTCATCCTACACAACAAGCAAACACTTATTATGCAGAACGCCTCCGGGTTCTGGAACAAGAATTTTTGACTAAACATGCTCACACAACAGTATTTTATTGCTTAAAACTACAATGCATAACCACTGCAACTGGCAGCCTGTGGGAGCTATCATATGGAGTGGGTTTTAACAGGAAATGTGTCATTGTTGTACCTCAGCGCCTGTGTGGATGTAGCAGTGAGCCAGCAGGTGTCTGTGAAGGGCTGATAGCAGGTGGTGGAAGTGTGATGGAGCCTCCGTCTGTTTCTGGGACTGACTGAACCGCTGTTTATCACTGTTCTTCTCCAGTTCGCCAAACGCACGCTCCTGCATGAACAAACAGGGAACAGAGTGAACAGAAAGGAGAACATGTTATGATTTGTGTTTTGATTTTTCTAAAATATATCACACATTAAATCCCTTTTATAATTTTACACATTTTATTTTTCATTTTATATACGTAATTAAATACAACAAAACATAAGTGTTTTTAAAGTTGAAAAAACTCATTATTTTCCACATACTGTACATTATTGTTTCTCCTCTATGCCCCGCCTTTTTGAAACGCGTCGATTTTTACAAAGCACCAAGAGCTTATAACACTCCAAAGAGAAAGGAAAAACTGAAATCGCATCATATGACCCCTTAAAATTTTTGCATACATAAATTATTAAATTAAATTAGTATTATCATACGCTACCATTCAAAACTTTGTGGGTAAGATTTTTTTTTTAATCTTGTTCAGCATGGATGCATTAAAATGATCAAAAATTACTGTAAAAACATTTAAAATGTTACAAAAGCTTTCCATTTCAAATAAATGCTGTTATTTGAAACTTCTTATACATCAAAGAATCATAAAAAAAATTATGTGGTTATCACAAAAATATTTTCATATTTTTAATATTGATAATGTTTCTTGAGCACCAAATCAGCTTATTAGAATGATTTCTGAAGGATCATGTGACACTGAAGACTGGAGTAATGATGCTGAAATTTCAGTTTTGTCATCACAAGAATATAACATTTTAAAATATATTAAAATAGAAAACAGTCATTTTAAATTGTAATAATATTTCACAATGTTACTGTTTTTACTGTATTTTTGATCAAATAAATGCAGCCTTGGTCTGTCAAAAATGACAAGAAAAAAACAGTAATGTATATTATAAGTTATTATATTCAATATGTATTAAATATATTGTCAATTATACATTTAATATTATAATCTTATATATTAATTCTTAATTATATATTACAAATTATAATATCAACAAATAAAAAATAAAAAAGTCCAAAAGAGGCCCAAGATGTACAGTAGATTGTACAACTGTTGAACTGACTGTATAGAACCCGATGCTGAGCAGCAAGGTCTTCAGGAGCACTTCAGCCAGGTGGAGTTGGTCTGGAGCTTCTGAGCCAGAGCTAACACTTCCTGTGGGGCGGTCAGGGGTGGGCGGCAGTGCCAGACCTGCGCTCAACTCCCCAGGTGAGCTGTATCCCAGGAGGGACGCCACGTGACTCTGTTCCTGCAGGCTGTTCAGCAACATGTCCAGCTGTAGACGCTGTAATAGTAATATCACAGAATCATTAGAGGAACAGCAGGGGTTTCTCAGCAAATATTGATATATGTGCCAGACTTTAATATTGCTGTGTTTGCGTACCTGTCCTTTAGAGAGGCTTTCCCAGCTCTCTGGACCCTGTGGTAACAGCGAGTGCAGCAGCTCCGTTCTCTCCCTGAGAGGAGGCAGCAACAGAGACGCTCCCATAGACAGTGTGGTCATTACCGCCTCAACACACAAACAAAAATGTATTACTATGGTGTGGGAATGACTCATATGCTGGCATTCTGACGATGATTCAGTCAAAAAGTTACACTGTACTCTTGAAGGTTATGAAAAGTTGTGTACCCTGCAAACTCCCTCAAAAAGAAAACAGAGCCAACAGATTCCATCATCTTAAGAGTTTTTAACATGTGGCCGGAACGCCAGCAAGCATTCTGATTGGCTGGAGTTGTTTACTGTTTTATACTGTTGCCAGAAATTATAGATTGTACAGTTAGTGTTTTTTTTTTTTATTAAACAAAATATCTGTTTTGAGCCTTAAAAATGCTGTATGGAAACAAATACATTTTTGTACCTATAATAAACACATATAATACTCAGTTTACTTCAGGCAGAAATATTTAAAATTAGGCTAAATGTAATAAAATATGCAATTTATTATGTTTAATAAAAGAGTCACAGTAGCTTTCACAATGGCTACAATTTCTATTTTGCACCAGTTCCCCTCAAAAAGAGCTGTTTTGTTCTCTTGAACACAATGTTCTTTATTCACAAATTATTTTTTACTTTTATTTATGTATTGCAATATTTCATTGTCATACATAAATTAAATTAGCAGCTTGGATGAAAACACAGCTACTGACAAATAACATATGCCTTGCCAAGTATAATTTGCCAAAAAGCACAATAAATCACATAATGAAACAGAAATTCATAACTATTCAGCACCTTCTGCAAGCTTTGTTTCTTCAAATTTAAATTTAAGGAAAAATTAAACTACTGTTCAAAAGTTTGGGGTTAGTATCATTTTAGAAAGAAGTCTCAATTGTCATGCATAAATTAAATTAGCAGCTTGGATGAAAACACAGCTACTGACAAATAACATATGCCTTGCCAAGTATAATTTGCCAAAGAGCACAATAAATCACATAATGAAACAGAAATTCATAACTATTCAGCACCTTCTGCAAGCTTTGTTTCTTCAAATTTAAATTTAAGGAAAAATTAAACTACTGTTCAAAAGTTTGATAATGGGATCAAGACATTTGACGCAGACTCTCTCTTTCTTTGGAGATACTGGTGCAGAATTAAATGTTCTGACCTCAAGGTCAACATAAATCACTTACCATCTTGAGGCCTCAGCAGGAAAAGATCTATGATATTATATAATCTGTATGACAGCTCTTATGTAATCTTGCAGTTGCACCTTCTGCAAGCTTTGTTTCTTCAAATTTAAATTTAAGGAAAAATTAAACTACTGTTCAAAAGTTTGGGGTTAGTATCATTTTAGAAAGAAGTCTCGTATGCTCACCAAGGCTGCATTTATTTAAATACAGTAAAAGAGTAATATAGCGAAATATTATTATAATTTAAAATACCTCTTTCCTATTTTAATATATTTTAAATATATAATTTATTCCTGTAATGGCAAAGCTAAATTTGGAGCTCTAGAAACATTTCTTATTATTATCAATGTTGAAAACTGTCAAAGAAAACAGCTGCTTAATATTATTGTGAAAGCTGTGATGCATTTTATGATGATTCTTTGATGAATAGAAAGAAGAAGAAAAAACAGCATTTTTTTGAAACAGAAATCTTTTGTAAATTTGAAATGTCTTTACTGTAACTTTCATCAATTTAATGCTTTCTTGATAAAAAAAAGTCCAAACTTTTGAACATTGTAATAATTCTATATGTAAATATATGCAAATTATTCAGAATTGTGCAAAACCAACACTGATGGATAGATTGAAAAAACACACTGAAGCCCAGTGTTTCAAAGCAGACCTGTTGTATGGAGTCTGGTACATTAGAGTCGATGAGTCTGAAGAGCAGGTTCCTGAGGGGCCGACCCTGAGCGCCCAGCACTGTGGCCCCCGTTCCCCCTGCGTGGGCCAACGACAGGTGGATGGACAAGAGTTTCATACACAACAACACGAACTGGTGATGTTCCCTGGAGAAGAAACAGAGAGGACAAGAGTGAGAAGTTTAAAGATGAGAAGTCTAGAGTAACCTTTACCGAGTGCCAGGCCATATGCTGCTCTGACCCCATCCCTGTGGGCATGGAGACGGTTATGAGCTTGCGCCAGATACCCCTGCGGCTGTGTGTGTGTGACATTCCTGCTATATGAGTGTCTTTCAGCAGCTGACATTGACACAGATAAACCAGAATTCGTGCTTGCCTATGCAAAACTCTCTGCCACAATGCTAGGGTGTGCTAGGTGGTTGCTAGGGCACTGCTATGCAGTTGTTTAGCTGCTATGGTGGTTGCTATGTAGTGGCTTGAGAGAAAAGTAAAAAGCTGAAGCAGAAACTTAGAGGTTAGAGGTTGGAGGAGTAAATAAAAAAAAAATAAAATAAATTAAAATAAAATAAAATAATAGTTAACGTTTTCTGGAAGCTTCCACATAATGGGATCAAGACATTTGACGCAGACTCTCTCTTTCTTTGGAGATACTGGTGCAGAATTAAATGTTCTGACCTCAAGGTCAACATAAATCACTTACCATCTTGAGGCCTCAGCAGGAAAAGATCTATGATATTATATAATCTGTATGACAGCTCTTATGTAATCTTGCAGTTGACCGATGTAAACTACTGACATCTGACATTGCAAATGTCTATGAATCGGATTGGCATGTTTGAAGCATCCATTCATAGTATGAAATGGCATTTTATTCTCCATTTTATAAAGTATAACAGACATTTTTAATATTATAATTTAAACTAAAAAAATAAAAATAAACAAACTCAAAATATAACAAATAAAATCAAATTAGAAAAATTCTTAAAATAAAAAGAAACTTAAAATTAATTCAAATGAATAAATATATTTAAATTTCTCACCCTGCATCTATCCACATACCTACCTATCAAAGAACAAGATTTGTAGCATGATTTGCTTTTAAAACAGCAATATCTGACACTCTGTGCCTCTATAAACACACATTTATACTGTACATATTTTTGATTAATTTACGTTTGTAGTGCAAATCACAATCCATCATTTGTAAATCTGGGTGGGCTGGTGCTAGGTTCTTACCTCTTAGAGGGGAAAGGTGCAGGTGGTGTGTCCCCACTGATACTATCGCAGTAACGCTCCAGGAAACTGCGCAGGTATGTAAACGTGCTCTCCTCCAGATCCACACAAAACGGCCTGTGCCAAGCCACCAGCTGCCTGCCAGCACACAAACACACATTGATAATTCACACTCAGTCCTGTCAGGAAAACAAAGCAACTGAACAGCTGTGAACAATGGAAAATGTAAATGCGATTGTATTAACACATTAGCGGTGGAACTCACGCCTGATAGAGCAATATGGGGTTTGATTTGCATAATGGTGCTGTTTCCTGTAGACTCAAACTCATTTAAGGACAAATTGTTTTTGGTTTTGGTTTAGATCAGGAAGAGGGGGCTTTTTATTCCATTTGCATTATCCATAAGCAACGAGAGATGCAGATAATGAAATACCGAACATGTATTGTGGAAAAGCCATCAAATCTCAACTAATGAACACAGTTTTCTCTCTCTTCTCACCTGTCAGTGGGAACCGCTGTCCAGGCCAGGCTGTGGGAGGTGCCTGCAGTAATCTGCTGTATTGACACCCCTTCTAAACCAATCACTTTCTTGGGTTTGGTGACTGGCGTTGAGGTATGGCCCTGCCCACACTGCCCCATGGCATTGTTGCCCCAAGCAAACACCTCGTTTTCTGTACCACAAACCAATGAAATTACTCAAGCATTTTCTTAGAATAAACTAAATGCAGCATCAATCTGAGAATCCCATTTCAGTGAATAACAACTTAAATTTCAGTCTCTTTCTGATACAAAGCTATCAGATGACTATTTCAGAAAACTTGGAATATAGCACACAAGTTGTATAGATTACTTTTATGGTGTCTTTTTGTCTTTTTTTCGTTTCCAAATTTTCTGTTTGGAATTACATGAGGGTGAGTAAATAATGAAAATTATAAAAGTTTTTGGTAAATATTCCTATAACCCTTAGTGTTGTTATTGTTAACTACAACTAAAATTAATTTTAAAAAATTGTCTTGAATTGAAATAAAGCTGAAACTAAATAAACATATTGTCTTGGCAACTAACTGAAATAAATAAGTTTAGGTACTTAAAAATTCCTAAAACTTAAACTAAAATCAAAATAAATTAAAGCTATATAGAAATATTTTAAAAAGAATAAAATAAAAAGGACAAAATGTATTAAACGTAAACAAATATTAAAATAAAAAATAAAAATAGAAATGCTCATTTAAAATATGAATGAATACTATAATAATATAATCAAATAAGAATAAAATACTATAACAAAATAAAATTAATATATAATATCAGATAAGAATGAAATAGCACTGATCAACATAATTTCTATAAAATGTTCTATAATGTTTCTATAAAATAATTTGATGTAATTTAATGCAATGCATTTTTTATTTAAATTAATTTAAATATGCAGTGTAAAACACATCAAACTCTGTAGACTTACTTTAGGGGAAAAAAAAAAAGAAAAAAAAAACTTGTCTAAAATTGTTGTAGAGAGCAAAGTTGCCACAATCAGTATCAGAGCAGAAATTATCTATTTATCTTTTTAAATTTTATTTAATACTATTTTCTCATCTCCTCTTCCCATTTTGTTTCTCCATCTCTCTTACCATGAGACAAAGCGAGACAGTGGCTGTCTCCACAGGAAATGTCTATGACTTTTGTGATACTGAGGTCCTCTATCAGGCGAGGTCTGAGTGAGGTGGTCTCAGACGAGCCGCAGCCGAGACACGAGCCGCAGCCCCACGCAAACACCTGCATCACACACACAGCAAAACACAGAGACATGAGAATTTATATGGGTGTATACCGGTACATATTTGCTCAGCAATATACGTGAGGTTGTGTATACCTGGCCAGCAGATGTCAAAGCCAGTGACGACTGGCTCCCAGCACATACTTTTCTGATAATGAAGCCATGAAGGGCTTCTATCACTTTAGGCCTGTACACACGGTTTGTGTCCCCATGTCCCAGTTTACCTGTAACACAACACAGAGTTTACATTTACAGAACTGCCTCTAACATGGATAATAGTAATTTCAGGTGTCAAATTCAGAGGCCGTGTTTGCACTTGTTTCAACTACTTGCTCTATATTTTGCCTTCTGAAAACACTTTGCGACAGCTTTATTTCAAACAGGTTTGAGCCTGTCAGCAGATGTTATGTCTAATAGTGCTACAATACAGAGCAGAGCACTCTGAAGGGGACACAGCTTTACTGTCTCATATGTACACATGTACCATGACAAACCACAAAACTCATATGTATAGCTGTTAAAATTGTTATGGCAAATAGAACTTGAGTCAAATAGTATGCCTTTTTGTGCTGTTTAATTCAAATTATTCAATTCAAGTGAAAAAAACATGAAAATCTATTTTCGCAGATAGCCATAGGGTAAACAAAAGCAATGCATTATGTTTGAATTAATTATAAAATGAACTGAAAATGATAGATAGATAGATAGATAGATAGATACTCCAGTTTTCAAGTGTTACATTTGCCAAATTTAATGCACGCATGCTGAATAAAAATGGTAATTTAAAAAAACTTTCTGAAATAAAAATTAATAAATCACAATTAAATAAAATAAATAAAATCACAACTAAATAAATAAATAAATAAATCACAACTAAATAAAATAAATAAATAAATAACAACTAAATAAAATAAATAAATCACAACTAAATAAAATAAATAAATAAATAAATCACAACTAAATAAAAAAAAAAGACAGACAGACAGACAGATAGATAGATAGATACTCCAGTTTTCAAGTGTTACATTTGACAAATTTAATGCATGCATGCTGAATAAAAATGGTAATTAAAAAAAACTTTCTGAAATAAAAATTAATAAATCACAATAAAATAAAATAAATAAAATCACAACTAAATAAAATAAATAAATAAATCACAACTAAATAAAATAAATCAATAAATCACAACTAAATAAAATAAATAAATAAATCACAACTAAATAAAAAAAAAAAATGACAGACAGACAGACAGACAGACAGACAGATAGAACAAATAAATAATGATAAATAGATTATTTTAACATCCCTCCAAGTGTACTTCATGTGTGAGGATGATGAAAATGGTCATCGGAAATTAAATTACGACTGATTTTAGCGGAAAATGTGGACTTCTACAGAGGAAAATAACTTCAAATACTACAGAATATGGCCACTTTATATGAAACATCAGCATACCGTTGTCTCCTCCTCCAAAGGACCAGACAATTCGTCCATCTTGAGCCACAGCGATGGTGTGAGAGCTGCCACAGGCCACTTGCCCGACCCCACTGATGTCCTTCACCAGAGTGGGCACGTTACGACTGTGACTGTCGCTGTGACCTACATGACAGGCAGACAGGAAAAACGAGACTGAGACACACAGGCAGAACTTCTGACACAACAGTCTGACTCAGTCTGAGGGATCAGGCGTCCCGTTTACTGCCTGGCAAATTATTTCTCTATGGATTAAAAAGAGAAAACTCTGAGCAGTGTGCACTGTGCACAGCAGTCATTCAAACCATAAAAACCAACTCCCAGAAATCAATAGTGTATTGTATTTCACTGACAACACTACATCTAAGAATAGATCCTCAGGCAGGTGTGTGTGTGTGTGCGTGTGTGTGTGTAGTGATGTTGATGGTCTGTAAGAGGAGAATGATGTACCGAGTCGACCGAAGTCGCCTTCCCCCCAGGTGTACAGCTCTCCGTCATTAGTCACCGCAGCGCTGTGTCTGTATCCAGCAGACACACACACCACCACCTGCAATACACACACAGGAAACACGCACACTTAGACAAATGCAATGATGAGATTTGTTACATTTTTCTGAAATATTAGTGATTGTTAGAGTGTTTTGTCGTTACTAGGGCATTGCTATGTGATTGCTAGGTTGTTTTGGTTGATTTTAGAATATTGCTATGCAGTTGTTAAGGTGTTCTGTGTTTATTAGGGCATTGCTATATGCTTGCTAGGGTGATATGATTGATTTTTTAGCATGTTATGTAGTTGCAATGACATTTAGGGGTTGCTAGGGGATTGCTATGTAGTTACTAGGGTGTTTTGGTTGATTTTAGAATGTTGCTATGCATTTGTTAGGGTGTTCTGTTGTTACTAGGGCACTGCTATGTGGTTGCTAGGGTGATCTGGTTGATTTTTGTAGCATGTTATGTAGTTGCTATGGAATTTAGGGGTTGCTAGGGCATTGCTATGAGGTTATTATGGTGATTTGGTTGATTTTAAAATGTTGCTATGCAGTTATTAGGGTGTTCTGTGGTTACTAGGGCATTGCTATGCAGTTGCTAGGGTGATTTGACTGATTTTTAGCAAGGTTAGGACGCCTGAAGTGCAACGGCGCTATATTTTGGGGCGCTGCCCACGAGGCTATTGGCGCCAACAATCTGGTTGATTTTTAACACATTATGTTGTTGCTAGGGTGTTCTGTGGTTGCTAGATTGTTCTGAGTGATTTTTAGCATGATGTTATGTTGCTGCTATGGCATTCATGGGTTGCTAGGGCTTTGCTATGTGGTCACAAGGGTGATCTGGTTGATTTTTTAACATGTTATGTTGTTGCTAGGGTGTTCTGTGGTTGCTAAGGCATTGCTATGTGGTTGCTAGATTGTTGTGAGTGATTTTTAGCATGTTGTTGCTATGGCATTCATGGGTTGCTAAGTCTTTGATATGTGGTTGCAAGGGTGATCTGATTGATTTTTAGAACATTGCAATGCAGTTGCTAGGGTGTTTCGTGGTTGCAAAGGCATTCCTATATGGTTGCTATGTGGTCACTAGGGTGATATGATTGATTTTAGCATGTTATATTGTTGCTGGGGAATTCAGAGGCTGTTAGGGCATTGCTAATGTGGTCTCTAGGGTGTCTTGGTTGATTTTAGAATAGTGCTATGCAGTTGCTAGGGTGTTCTGTGGTTGTTAGGGCATTGCTATGTGGTTGCTAGTGTAGTTTCTATTGTGCTCTGGTGATGTTAAGATGTTTCTATGGTGTTGCCAGGGTGTTGCTATATGGTTTCTAGGGTTTTTGCATGTTGCTATTCAGTCGCTAGAGTGTTTTGTGTTTGCTAACGCATTTGTATGTTGTTTCTAGGTTTTCTGGGTTTGCTAGGGCAACGCAATGCAGTTGCTAGGGTGTTGTGGCTGCTAGGGCGTTGTTGGGTGGGTGCTAGACTGTTCTGGGTGATTGCTATGCAGTTTCGATTGTGTTCTTGATTTGCTAGGATGATACAGTGGTGTTACAGGTTATTGCCGGGTGTATACATTCTATATTCTGAAAGATTTTAGCATGTTGCTATAGTCACTAGGGATATTGCTATGTGGTTTCCAGGGTGTTGCTATATGGTTGCTAGGGTCTTCTAAGTGATTTCAGCATGATGCTATGCAGTTTATTTTTTTTGCTAGGACACTGCTATGTGTTTGCTAGAGTGTTCTGGAGGATAGCTAAGTTGTATATCGTTTATAGGGTGTTGCTAGGTGGGTGTTAAGGTTTTCTGGAATGTTATCTACTGATCCGAGTCAAAAGAGCTCAGGGAAATGCTTTCAATTAAGACACTCACATCCAAACATACCAATAATAATAACTTCTGCATGTAGAAAACACACTTTCTCACCTTTCCTAACAGTGGGCCTTGTATAATCTTGGGGTATTTCTGTGTGGCGCTGTTCCCGTGGCCCAGTTTGCCGTAATCTCCATCTCCCCAGCTGAACACCTCTCCCTCCGTCGTGACAGCCAGCGTGTGTCCGTCTGATCCCTTGGAAGACGACACCTTCCTCATGGTACGAGGTGGCTCCAGAACCAGTTTCTTTGGCATGGACTGGTTATTAGAGTCTCCCAGTCCCAGCCGCCCATAACTACCCTTCCCACAAGCCTTCACTGCACCATCTGCAGATACAGAGAACGTGCAGTACTGGCCTGCCTCAATCTGCAGGTGGAAAGAGAAGAGTACCGTTTAGAGCCAAGTCAATTGAATCAACCGTGATAGAGATTGTCTAAACTGTATTAGTGAAAGGGCACAGTTTATTAAGATGTGGCTACTGTTTTCCAAATTGCATTTCTCAATAATAATGAAAAGACATGTCTATATTAAATAGCAGAGACTTCAGATTAGTCTTTGCACAACACATACTCCGTTAGTTAGAGGAAACAAAGAGATTTAGTTCAATAAGATGGTCTATTATTATTTATAATGCAGTCAGTAACCAATATGAAACTGACTGCATTATAAACTATATACTGTTTAAATATCTAACTAAATAAATAAATTCTTGTGACCTCTTAAAGCTGTAATAAAAGGCACAAAAATCTTACATTAAATAAAGCATAAAAAATAAAAAAATATATATATAAAAAAAAAAATTATATATATATATAAATAAATTAACAAACCTACGCCCTTTAAAATTAGACAAAATATGCCCTTATATTTTCAAATTTCAATATGCATATTTAATTTGATCATTTTACAGTAAACAATTTAGCATGCAAATAAATAAATACATTTACATATTCCACCCCTTTTTCTCCCCATCACTTCTTGTCACCTCTTAAAGCTGTAAATAAATAAATAAATGTATGTTTAAGGGGTCATATGATGCTGCTAAAAAGAATATTATTTTGTGTATTTGGTGTAATGAAATGTGTTTATGCGGTTTAAGGTTAAAAAAACACATTATTTTCCACATACTGTACATTATTGTTTTTCCTCTATGCCCCGCCTTTCTGAAACGCGTCGATTTTTACAAAGCTCATCAGTCTGAAAAAGCGAGGTGTGCT